TCCTTCCTTCCTTCCTTCCTTCCTTCCTTCCTTCCTTCCTTCCTTCCTTCCGCAATTCTTTTGCTCTATTATAAACTAACAGGGTGGCATTTCACTTTGGGGAACACTTATGACTATTTTTGTTTATGATACCATTCCTTTCTTTCCAACGACAAAGCCATAGTACATGGCAGTGTCATAACTACAGTGACATGTGACCCTATCTGTGAACCTCCCTTTCTTTCTTGTGTTATTTAAATAGCACTTCATTAAGAGGAAAAATATGCATGTGCTTTAACAACATATTTAGCATAAAGACCTACGGTGCTTTTGTGTGAAAGATAATAATAATACTCTTAACAAACTGAACTTCAAAGTCTGGGACTATGGGGTACTGATGACGGTGATGATGATGACGCATACCACAGCATCCATTCCGGCAGGGATGGGACTGACGGATGAGTGGTCTCTGACTCTAGAACATCAGGCCCCTCTACTAATGAGCCGTCCTTTCCTCCTTCAAGTTCAGGCTCAAAAATCCCACATACAATTCTGCAATTGAGTCAGATTCACTCTCCCTCCCTAAGGAATGGTCAACTTTTCCCATTTTGATATAACAAAGTCAGTGCCGATTCCTTTTATAGCTACACAGTAGCATTTTACTCAGAGTAGAAATCAGGTTTAGAGGCTAAGAATACAGGCTCACTGGGAGCCTCATTCTGATCAGTGTGAATCAAAATGAGCACAACTTTCAGAGAAGCAATGGAGTGAGGTATTTGGGAGAGCATTCTAGGTAGCTGACTACCTTTGAGGGGCTGAAAAGAACCACCACCTCCAGCCCACTGATGTGACATGGCAGATGACTGTAATACAGGGTGACAAGGTGACACAGACAGGGCAAGGCTGAGTCTGAAACAACTAGACCTGACTCTCAGCAACTCACTTGTGACCTTGGACAAATTTTAATGCCCTTGCAGGACAGGCTCACAATAATAGCACTATAACAGAAAGAGATATGGGAAATACTATTTACATAGAAGATATTCTATGAAAATAGCGTACACATTAAATATATACATTATGATGCATAGCCTTATAGGCTATATTTGTTAACAACAATAATTTGAAAAGCACAATCAGTTATATATTTTAATATATTTTACACATAAGGAAAACTATGCTTACAAAACTCAACAGTTTTCTATACCAACAACAAATGCTAGCATTAGAATGTAAATTAACAGGTTTCTAAGAACAGATGTCCTTAAAAATAAAGGTGCTAGGACATTACCATATGCTTAATGTAAATTTGCCCTTTATCAGGTATGCCATCAATACTAATGTCAGAAGAGTCTGCATATTTGTTATATATTCCAATGAAAACTTATTAAGCATAAAAAAGTGACCCAGAGTGGGGGCTGGAGGGAAGGTTGAGAGGTTAAGAGAACTGTCTGTTCTTCCAGAGGTCCTGAGTTCAATTTCCAGAACCACATGGAGGCTCACAACCATCTATAATGAGATCTGGTGTTCTACATGCAGACAGAAAATTATACACATAGAAATAAATAAATAAATAAATAAGTGACCCAGAGCTTTGAGAACACATCATTTTAGCATATTTTTAATACCAAATTAGAATTTGACATTTTGGATTAACTTTCCCTAGATTTTAGAAACAGACACCTTCTGCTGATCTCCACCCCCCCCCACATGCTCTCCCTCTGTCTCTTCCCCTGTTTCATTTTTCATTTTTCTATGTGTGTGAGTTTGAGTGTGTGTGTTCACTCATTCCTATATGTGTGGTTGATATGTATGTTGATATGTATGCATGTGTTCATTCATTGTCCTCTGAGATGGATTTTCTGAGATGAATTCCCTGACTGAACTTGCAGCTCACCATGGTAGCTATATCAGAGGCCAGAAATTCCCCAGATCCACTGTCTCAGTCCCCCATTGTTGGGGTTACAGAGTTTGCTGCCATCCCCGGCTTTTTAATGGGGCTGCTGGAGACCTGAACTCCAGTTCCCCTGCTCAGACAGCAAACACTTTGCCACGAGCCATATCACCAGCCCTCCAACAGCCTCTGCACATTGGAACCTCTCGGTACTTTACACATTCATGAGTAGCTCAATTCTATGGTTGTTTCTAGTTTTTTCTTCATGGTAACAGAAGATACATCACATGAAAGATTCTTAAGTTACTCTTGGGACAGAAACTGCAACAGCAGTAGCAACAAAGTTCCTTTCAAAGCAGTTGCCTCTATCAAAGCTACAAAGAAAAGCTGTGACTACTTTTGTGGAGTATGTGGCATGGGGTAATAAAGACAGAAAGAAGAAATATTTAGAACTAAAGTCACTTACCCAAACACAGAGCAGATTCTATACAAAACTAATCATTTTTTTTTTAAAGAGAAAGACTAAAAAGAAAAAAGAGAGGAGAAAGACACCTGGAGGGTGAGTTAGAGAGAGAGTGAGGGAATGAGGGAGAAAGAGGGAGAGCTAAATAACTTACTGGCCAGTTAGTTAGCCCACAGAGGACCTCATAGGCCCAGGATCCCCTGAGACAGAGTTTAAAGGACGGATGCACTTAGCACTAAGTGGGAAATAGGGCAATTTGCGAATCCGAAGTAGCAGGGACACGGAAGGAATTGTTGATGTATATTGATCAGCTGACTGATGATGAGATCTGGCTAATTCTTATTTTCCATGGACTCCCTTCCACTATTTGCTTTGCTTCTTCTGCGTGTTCAGATCAGAAAGTAGACATTATGTCTGACCACGCAAGTTGCCTGTTGATAGTGAGGTGATGCCTGCTATTATCTTAAAAACAACAGCAAAACAAAACAAAAAATACCCTAAAGCTCAACAATCGTCTTCCAATTTGCAAGAGCTTGTGGGATTTAAGAGAAAGACCTGGAAACAAAGGCAAAACTAGCTTTGGGCTCATCAGGCTTATCATTCCAACATCGCTTTATTAATTCAACAAGGACTGTCCAGCGCTTTGTCAGTGGATCCATTCCCACTGAGTAAACGTATACGTGTTATGATGTGGGCCGAGTGTGCCAACGATCACACTCTTCATGTTGACAAAATACTAATGAATCCACTCCCTAAAAGAAGATGGTGGAAACTAGGCGTAAGCCAGATTTCTTAAAGACTCCGATAAGTGATTGTTTTTTCCTGTCAAGTAAGTAAAACAATATCAATAACTTCACTACAGTCTGTGTCCTTCCTTAGTGCTTAGAGTTTAATGCCAGAGTCAAAGGATCGAGCGTGAATTCATGCTAGATGACTCCCGATGGAACAGCCGCACAAGGCTAGTGTATAAATCCTTGAAAGGTTGCACTCAGTAGTTTTGTTTTAGAAACAGACAAGAGGAAGTGAGATTTCAAGAAATGCATGCGGCGGTCCTGCTCTGGAATACAAAGCAAGATTGCCTGGCAAAGAGTGCCCATTGGCATTAACGTCACACACACTCCAGCTCCATGAGGGCAAACACTTGACAAGCACCCCTATTTTATTTTGCCACCTTTCTGAGGCTGTGAATGCCGGAAACGTCTGCCGGCACGGTGGGCAAATTAAAGAGAGCCCTCATGTAACGTGGTGTGGTGACCTCTCAGGTTTTTATAGCTGTTACTGTGAACTAGTTGTCACGCGTGAACATGGGCACATTCGGGGCTGTTCGCATTTATTCCATTCAGTTGCACAGACTAAACGTTATGAATCCTGAAGGCGGAGTCCCCCATCCCTGTTTAAACTAGTTTTGATAAACATAGATTCACATTCTATGGCCCTTGGAATCTAGACCCACCCGCCTCCAGCTGGGTGCCGGGGGGTGGGGGTAATGCCGCTCAGGATCATGCTTTTGCCCCAAATTTACTAACATGCCGTCTAGATTCCACTATTAATTGGCAAGCAGAAGACTGTCTGATCCCAACAGAGCTTCATGTTTACAACTCCTGCTTTGCTTTGGGGGCTGGCGAGATGACACAGTAGCTAGGAGCACTGAAGGCTCTTCGAGAGGACCCAGATTCAGGTCCCAGAGCCCTCATAGCAGCTTACAATTGTAACTCCAGTTCCAGGGAATCCAATGTCCTCTCTGTTCTCTGGGGGCACCAAGCCTACATGTGAGGCACAGACACGCATGTAGGGAAAACACCTCTCCGTACACATAAAATTGAGAATTCCGGCTTCTCATAACTAATCATGACCAGCTGGATGAGAACAGACTTTCGTACAAATGCAGATTCAAATATACCCCGGGAAGGTCACTTCACCTTTGAACATCTTCCTCGTAAGAGCATAGTGCCTTTCTTGTAACCGCCCTTGAAAGGTCCTTACTGTTTATTACATTCT